TGAATGAGAGAGAGAGAGAGATGCAGAGCATGTGCAGAGCAGGGCGACGCGAGGAACAGTATTAAGAACCGCTACTTTAGAACACTGATTATGAAACTTGTGAATCCATTAGAATCATTAGAAGACAGAATCGCGATTCATATATGAATAGATTTTTACGTGCACCTCTAGTTTTCTCTTCCTCTTCTCTAAAGCAGGGCACAGCATGACCTCGCCCCCTTTGCTGCCTTTTCCCGTGGGTTTATCTGGGTTTGTGATGTCACCAACCTGGGAAGTAACTCGTTGTAGTCCCTACCAGCCGTTTTTGTAGGCATTAAACTGCCAGAATTTATAAAGACGATATCTCCATTTGCATTGAACTTTCAGCTTCGTAACTTTGCAGATATTGTTTATGCTCAAACAGCAACATTACACACTAACTAACGTTAAAAAGGTGAAATCGCAATGAACCACCCCTTTAACTGAGCCAGAGACAAAAAAAAAAAGAACTGCCAAATAGAATCATACGTGTGAAAACATATTTATACCATTATTTAAAGATCAAACATACATATTAAGAAATAGAAAAAAATAATAAAATAAAAACTTATATATTAGGGGTGTAACAGAACTGTAGGCTGGTTTGTTCAGTAAAGCATTATTAAAAAGAGCATCAGAATTTTACGTCAAAAAAAACAACAACCCCTAAGTACATACCGAACCGTAATATATTTGTGTACCGTTACACCTCTAATATATAGAGAGAAATCATAACATCTCATGTTTGGCAGCTATAGGGACATGTGATTAGCATTACATAGTTAATGCCAACGCACGTTTACAAGAGCTTCATATCTGAAAACTGCACCTGTCAGAACTAACTTAACTAACCACTGCTAAGCTACCCACAAAGTTTAAAACTTCTCACTGGTACGTAGTAATTCACTTAAATTGTCATTACATCTATCTGTAGCACCCTGTATTAGTAATTTAATTACGATTTTACACTATAAAGCACAAAATAACCGTTCTGGGTGAAAAGCAGACATTGTGAGTTGCATAAAGCTATTCATATCATTCTCTTAAAAGAAATAACAGCGAAGCTAATGAATGTCACGTGTATGTTAATATCATAGACGTCAGGAAAGTGCATTGTTATGTAAGATCCAAATCCGAATTCAGCTTCAGAAACTAATGTGATAAATATATTATTAACAATGTGCCGAGGATCTGTGCTATTAATCATTCCTACGTTGGCCTCACAATTCCTCCCCTTTTCTTTTTGTCTTTGCTGACAAGATAATCAAGGGCTGCATGAAATCGATTGAGAATGACTCGATGTTTAAAGTGTGCCTCCTGTAGGAACGATGTTTATGCCTCTGGCTCCTCATGCATGATGATGATTTCAAAAGAAAACGGAACGAGAAAGCAGGAGTCAAGTGTTTTCATTCACAAATGCAGTAAGAAGCTTCCACTCCTTCCTCTCCCTCTATAGTAGCCGATTTCTGGTAGTGACTAGAGGGCAGCACAACACTGCCAAAGTCTCACTGCTTTTATGCATGAATGAACGTTCTCGAGACTTCCCAGCTCTGGTTTTCTTACTTTTTATATCTTTCATTCGGTGGTTGTTAAATTGGTAGATTTTTACTGCATGATTTTAAATACGCGTTTATGAATACCGTCATAAACACTGCCACAGTTGTAACACCGGATCCGTTTCATCCTCGACCGAGCAAAACTTGGAACTCCACAGCTGCTTTTAATGCGGATTACTAAACATAGATGGTATCGCACTAACACTTAGATGTCACAGAATATGTCATAAGTCAATATTGTGAAATATTACAATTTCAAGGAGCAGTTTCTTATTAAAATATATTTTAAAACGTAACTTACTCCTATGATGGCAAATCTGAATTTTCAGCATCATTTCTCCAGTCTTCAGTGTCACACGATCCTCGATGTTTATGCCTCTGGCTCCTCATGCATGATGATGATTTCAAAAGAAAACGGAACGAGAAAGCAGGAGTCAAGTGTTTTCATTCACAAATGCAGTAAGAAGCTTCCACTCCTTCCTCTCCCTCTATAGTAGCCGATTTCTGGTAGTGACTAGAGGGCAGCACAACACTGCCAAAGTCTCACTGCTTTTATGCATGAATGAACGTTCTCGAGACTTCCCAGCTCTGGTTTTCTTACTTTTTATATCTTTCATTCGGTGGGTGTTAAATTGGTAGATTTTTACTGCATGATTTTAAATACGCTTTTATGAATACCGTCATAAACACTGCCACAGTTGTAACACCGGATCCGTTTCATCCTCGACCGAGCAAAACTCGGAACTCCACAGCTGCTTTTAATGCGGATTACTAAACATAGATGGTATCGTACTAACACTTAGATGTCACAGAATATGTCATTATTTGACAATGTCTGCACCTCTGTAAAGTATCAACACAACGACTTAAGGCCTCAACAATTCCAGGATGCATTTCATGTTGAAGTGAAAATGTTGCTTTGCCAAATAAATTATGGACAAGATGGTATATATAATAAAATACATTTCAAAATACAGCAGAAACAGAAATATTGTGAAATATTACAATTTCAAGGAGCAGTTTCTTATTAAAATATATTTTAAAACGTAACTTACTCCTATGATGGCAAATCTGAATTTTCAGCATCATTTCTCCAGTCTTCAGTGTCACACGATCCTTCAGAAATCATTCGAAAATGCTGATTTGCTGCTCAAGGAACATTTACGTTTCAATGTTATAACATTTTTGCTGCTTAACTTTTTTTGTGGAAATCATACACTACCATTCAAAAGTTTGGGGTAAGTAAAATGTAATGAAAAAGAGAGTATACTTTTATTTAACAAGGACAAATTAAATTGGTCAAAATTGACTACAGATCTCTCTTTCATTGGATTTACAGTTCAAAGAATCCTGAAATTGAAAAAAATGATCATGGTTTCCACAAAAAATATTAAGTAGCAAGAACTAGTAGTTTTCAACATTAATAAGAATCATTCATAAAAAATTAACACCAACAACAGATAATAAATTAGCATACAAAATCATAATCATACCAACTTCCCCACTGCTCAGGAAGTATTAACCTGTCAAAAAAAGGAAATTATCCAATCAGTAATAAACACACAATTTTACAATTTTTTGGCATTTTTTATTATACATTTGTGACCGTCACAAGTCATCTTTACAATCGTGTCTATACAATACATCCCACCTTCACTCTCTCCCTCCCTGACCCGAATAAATAGCACACACTTTCAGCACTCAGAGCAAGGGCTTTGCACAGCAGCGCCCGCAGACAGACAGACACACTCTGATACCACACTCAGAGGAAGGAGAGATCACAGAGGCTGAAGGGCACGACAAATACAGGGACAGAAATGAAATGGCTGGACAGGGGACATCAGTAAAAGTCCAAATGAAACAAAGGACCAAAAAAAAATCCAACTCATAGCCTCTTGGTGAATTCTCACCAAGAACATGCACATCATATTTCACATTAAAATCTATACTCTTGAATTGTGACATTGTTTTTATTTAAATTCCCATACAGTGTTTGAAAGTATTTGTTTTACGGTTTGCAAATTATGCTTATTTTCATGTAAAATAATGGTCTGCAAAGGACAGGATGGTTTTCATTATTGCATTAGAGTAGTGAGAATCATAGACAAAAAAATAATTTAATAAAAATGTAAAAATTATGAGGGGTGTTTAATTGTCATAAAAATGCCACAATGCAAAAAAATAAAAATTGAGGTGAAACAGACATGTTCTGTGTGAGACTGGCCTACAGTGTTGAGTGAAATGACAATGGTCCTCCTGACCTTGAGTTCTGGTTGGTCCCAAACGTCCAGCCTGAGGAACGACTGAAGTTCTTCAATCTGTGTGCACAGCAGCTGTTCTAGCTAATAGTAGCCCTGAACAGTTCAAGTTTGATTCCAGTGAAACACCTCAACTACACAAAACAGCTCCTTTCACCCCTAAGTCATAAATACACAGGGATTTAAAACAAAAATAATAACTAAAACATTAGGGAGAAAGAAGAAATGGTTAAAATTGTAAAACAATCTTCACTCTGGTACTCTACTACACGAAGTAAAATTGTGACTTTTTGCATTCTTTCTTATAGATTAACTTTTAATTGTCCATTACAATTTTTCCACATGATTATTGCTAAAATGGGAATTCATATTCATACCACTCGTTCCACCCATTTCTTCATTGGTCCTTGTTTGAGCAGAAACACAATGACGTTAGACTGTAATTCAAGTCTATTAAATAAATACTGCAATGGTCTGACACACTTTAAACAAGATTCAGTAACAGCTCTGAAATCAGCAAAACAGTAACATAAGAGAAAATTGAAATTTCTCTCCCCTGTGAAATGACGGTTGAGAGGTCTCTTGGAAGGTTGATTTCAGACATTTCCCTCTTTAAAATCTTTAGCGCATCTCTCCCAAGCTCTGTATTGAAAGGTCCATGATGAAATTCAGTTTTCAGACACGCAGTACGGACCAAACGGCTCAAGATGCAGCACAGCTGTAAGCCACAGACGCTCCCGTACA